CTGCACCTGGCTAATTTTTTTTTTATTTTTAGTTGAGACGGGGTTTCACCGTGTTAGCCAGGATGGTCTCGATCTCCTGACCTCGTGATCCGCCCGTCTCAGCCTCCCAAAGTGCTAGGATTACAGGCTTGAGCCACTGCGCCCGGCCCTATACCCTGCTTTTCTAACAACCTTCCTCATATTGTTGAATTTGCTGGTCCACGGACCACACTTTGAATAGCTGGGATCATCTTTCCATAATAAAAGGATTTTGAGCGGAAATGGTATCTTCTGGATATCTATACATCAATCCTTGTTCCATGGCATTTCACATCCTTTCAGCTTTGCCATAAAGGCAGATATTAGTTTGAAAGAGTATAGTCTTTTTTCCCCAAAGTTTAAATGGTGAGGGAGATAAGGATAGGCATAGCTCACAGGCTATCAATAGAAATCCACAAACTTAGGCCTGACACGGTGGCTCACACCTGTAATCCCAGCACTTTGGAAGCCTGAGGCGGACTGATCACAAAGTCAGGGGTTCGAGACCAGCCTGGCCAACATGACGAAACCCTGTCTCCACCAAAAATATAAAAAATTAGCCGGGTGTGGTGGCATGCATCTATAATCCCAGCTACTCAGGAGGCTGAGGCAGGAGAATTGCTTGAACCCAGGAGGCGGAGGTTGCAGTGAGCCGCGATCGCGCCACTACACTCCAGCCTGGGCAACAGAGCAAGACTCTGTCTCAAAAAAATTAAAAAAAAGAGAAGAAAATCCACAAACTTTATTTTTTTTTCAGTGGTTTCCTACATTCAATCCTCAAATAAAAATAAAAAGGGAAAAACTTTTCTTGCCCTGTCACTGCGTGTGTTCTGTAGTTGCCAGCATAGAGCAAAACTTGGCTGAACTTACTTAAATCCCTCTTCATGCTTCCTGACCAACTTGCTTAGAATTGCGGAATACTCAAACACAGGGTCTCATTCACCATTCCCATACGATGTCCTGATTTATACCACATCCAGTTGGTGCTGAGAGAATATGAACAGGTGAGAGAAGTAACAAGGATCTCATCCATTCTTGCTTTGCTCACCACTTCCTTTTTCTCAGATGTCAATGCCTGATGCCAGGTCCACTCATTGAAATTCCATAAAGACTGGAATTTGTTGCCTTGGAGCATGTATATACATTCTCTTGTTATTATCCTTCCAGTTCCTCATCAGGACCTTCTGTTGCTTCTAATAGTTAACCTCTTTAAATAGGACAGTTTCCCTCTTCTGCAAGTAAAGTTGCAGTAGGGTTCTGATGACATTAACATTTTAAGAGAACTTGTGATTTTGTTTACTTAAAAGTTAGGGCTGTGAACAGAGGTCGACTCAACCTGAGAAAGAAGCTGCCTTAGCCTTCCCAAGTAGCTGGGATTACAGGCATGGACCACTATGCCTGGCTAATTTTGTATTTTTAGTAGAGACAGGGTTTCTACATGTTGGTCAGTCTAGTGACTAAATTTATAAATGAGATTCAGAGCCACTTGATTAATAGAAGATATATACTTTGAAAAATACAGTGAGACACACTGAAAAAAAATTCACCTTTTGCAGTACTTTTCATTGGATTGCTTCATAATTTCTTGGTGTTGGAAAATTAATTCCTAAAGCAACAAGATTAAAGGATGCTTGGGTAAGCAATTAGTTTACCTGTCTTTTCTGGGACCTTACATGGTTCATCCATGATTGCATTTTCTTTTAGAATTGGAGTTTAATGAATAAAAACTTTAATATAATCTATAAGCAATTAGTTTACCTGTCTCAAAAAACTATAAGCAATTAGTTTACCTGTCTTTTCTGGGACCTTACACGGTTCATCCATGATTGCATTTTCTTTTAGAATTGGAGTTTAATGAATAAAAACTTTAATATAATCTACTGCTTCTTTATCTCACTTAGGTGAAACACTCTTATCTTGCAGAAATATTTCCCCTTTGCTTGGCTTTTAGGTTGACATTGCAAACGGTATGGTCACCAAACAGGCTACAAAGAATGCCCTTTCTTTATCAAAGACAACCAAAAGTTAGAACAGTTCAGAGTAGTAAGTAAAACCATACAATGTCATTTTACCTTAATCAGAGATGGTGAATCTTAATTAATCCGATAGTCACCAGCGAACTGAATGTTCACATAAAGTACATTCCCAGAAGCCTTTTGGCCAAGATATCTGCTGTTAACCATTTGTGAGACAAATTTAGCTCTTCAAGAAAAAACTAACATTTATAAAAGTGTTCTTTGCTTATACATTGGGTCAGTGATTCTTTTTCTGAAGAAGACTTTGTTCCCTATTCAACTCCCCTTTTTAACATTTATTATATAAAAAGTCATGTCTCATAACTAAAATCAGAGTTTTAGTTTCCCAGACTTTTTTTTTTTTTTTTTTGAGATGGAGTCTCGCTCTGTCACCCAGGCGGCTGGAGTGCAGTGGCGCGATCTCGGCTCACTGCAAGCTCCGCCTCCCAGGTTCATGCCATTCTCCTGCCTCAGCCTCCCAAGTAGCTGGGACTACAGGCACCCACCACCGCGCCTGGCTAATTTTTTGTATTTTTAGTAGAGGCGGGTTTCACCATGGTCTCGATCTCCTGACCCCGTGATGCACCGCCTTGGCCTCCCAAAGTGCTGGGATTACAGGCGTGAGCCTCTGCGCCCGGCCTAGTTTCTCAGCCTTTAAAGAGTAGATGTCTGTCTATTACAAGCTAGAATTGTGTATATTTCCTCTTAAATGACAGACAGATCTATCATTAGCATGATCTATCAATCATTCCCCACTTTATCATAGAGTCACCTCCCAGAGCTGTTAATTCACTGTTCAGTAACCACTTCTGCCAAGTGAAATATGCTGCCTTGTGGATCGACTGGAGTGATCAGCATACAGTTGTCCCTTGGTATCCATGGGGAATTGGATCCCAGTATCCCCTGGGATACCAAAATCCGCAGGTGCTCAAAGTCCCTCAAATAAAATGGTATAGGCTGGGTGCAGTGGCTCACGCCTGTAATTCCAGCAGTTTGGGAGGCCTAGGCAGGTGGATCACCTGAGGTCAGGAGTTTGAGACTAGCTTGACCAACATGGTGAAACCCCAGCTCTACTAAATATACAAAATTAGGCTGGGCACAGTGGCTTACACCTGTAATGTTAGCACTTTGGGAGTCTGAGGTGGGCAGATCACCTGAGGTCAGGAGTTCAAGACAGCCTAGCCAACACAGTGAAACCCTGTCTCTACTGAAAATACCAAAATTAGCTGGGTGGGGTGGTGGGCACCTGTAATCCCAGCTACTTGGATGACTGAGGCAGGAGAATCGCTTGAATCTAGGAGGTGGAGGTTGCAGTGAGCTGAGATCACCCCACTGCACTGCAGCCTAGGCGACAGAGTATGACTCTGTCTCAAAAAAATAAAAATACAAAAATCAGCCAGGCATGGTAGCACATGCCTGCCATCCCAGCTACTTGGGAGGCTGAGGCATGAGAATCACTTGAACATGGGAGGCAGAGGTTGCAGTGAGCCAAGATCATGCCACTGTACTCCAGCCTGGGTGTCAGAGTGAGATTTTGTCAAATAAGATAAATAAAATAGCATATAAGCTGTGCACACATTCCTGTATACTTTAATCATCTCTAGAGTACCTATAATACTGAGTAAATTGTTGTTACACTGTATTGCTTAAGGAATAATGACAAGAAAAAAAGAGTCTGAACATGTGCAGTACAGACAAAACCGTCCTTTTTTTTTTTTTTTCCAAATATTTTCGATCCTTGGTTGAATCTGTGGACGTGTAACTCTTCAGGATACAAGGGCCAGCTATATATGAAACTGAAGTCAACAGACGTTCTTTTAACATTTTAAGGCATTTAAAGTTTTGTGTTTTTGTCTTAATCTGAAAAATAATTATTCTAGATCAAACACTTTTAGGTGAAATGTCAGTTTTTACAGATAGTATAAAACAAAGCTTGTTGATAAATCTAAAAAATTTAGCATAGTTCTTTTTGACTCAGAAATTCAACTTCTAAGAATTTACCCTAAGGATGTAACAGAACATCAGTTTATACAACTCTATAAGCATAATGTTCATAATTGTGAATTTTTTTATTTTTTTTAATTTTATTTTTTGAAACAGGGTTTTGCTCTTGCTGCCTGGGCTAGAGTGCAGTGGTGCGATCTTGGCTCACTGCAACCTCTGCCTTTCGGTTTCAAGCAATTCTCCTGCCTCAGCCTCCCAAGTAGCTGGGATTACAGGTGCCTGCCACCACACCCAGCTAATTTTTGTATTTTTAGTAGAGATGGGGTTTCACCATGTTGGTCAGGCTGGTCTCGAACCGCTGACCTCGTGATCCACCCGCCTCGGTCTCCCAAAGTGCTGGGATTACAGGCATGAGCCACTGATCCCCACCCATAATTGTGAATTTTAAGTCATTTTTCAATTATAGAATATAAGAATACAGTTTATTTGCCTTATTAAGCAAAATGAAGACCTCATAGTAAGGCTTTTACCACCAAGTCCAATCTTGACTTCCTCCTGAGAGTGGCTTTGCAGCAAATAGCTTGATGTGTATATTTCCAGACTTCTTTGGGATATGTTTTTTTTTTTGAGACGGAGTCTTCCTCTGTCACCCAGGCTGGAGTTCAGAGGCGCGATCTTGGCTCACTGAAACCTCTGCCTCCCGGGTTCACACCATTCTCCTGCCTTAGTCTCCCGAGTAGCTGGGACTACAGTCGCCGGGCACCACGCCCAGCTAATTTTTTGTATTTTTAGTAGAGACAGGGTTTCACCATGTTAGCCAGGATGGTGTCTCGATCTCCTGACCTCGTGATCCACCTCCCTCGGTCTCCCAAAGTGCTGGGATTACAGGTGTGAGCCACTGTGCCTGACCTGTAACGTGTATTTTTGAGTACTTATAAATGATCATTCCTATGTATCATTGAGCAACTCCTTTGTTTTGCTTAATACTAACTTTTGGTCATCTAACCCAATAGAACAAAGAGAATTACCTCAGTATTTCTAAACTTGAGTACTGTTTTATAGTGTGACTCTTCCAGTTTATGCAGTTATTTCCTCATGAAGAATATTATTTCGTGTATTTTCTCATTAGGAAATCCTTTTTATAGCCTTAGCGAGTTATCAATAATGCGACCCTTAAAAGGATTGAAAGATGTTGAGCATACAGCTACATCAAACAGTAAAAAAAGAAAAAAAAAAAAACTGTTTTCTGTAACATAGGGGTTTCATTTTATTTAACTTATGGCCCATGAAGCCTAACCAAACCTTAACTTTCTCTGTCCCTAAAGGCACATGAGGATTTCATGTATGACATCATACAAGACAATAAACAATATGAAAAGGATGTAAGGTGAGATTGTCCTGTTGATGATATCTACTTAGAAGTTTTAAATTCTACAAAGTTGGAAAAAAAACATTCTAGCACTAGGAGAGTGATATAGTAAACATGGTACTTCATTTGTGAAATGTTTATTGGGTAGGAGTCATGGCTGACAAGACCAGTGTTGGGGAATGAGCAGGCCAGCCTCTTCCTACTTGGGTTGGCTTAAAGCTGTAGGCTTGGTCCAGCTCTCTGACCACTGCGGTTGATATTAGCAACCCCTGTTGTGCTGTCTACTGGCATGGTACAATTGGTACTTTCATGTAATTCAGTTTATCTCCTCCAGCATCTTTAAGGATCTGAGCTTTTGTTAAAAATTATACCTAGACAGGATTAGAGAGTGAAAAATTGGGAGAGTTTGTTTTCTCAAACTGGTTACATTAAATTATGATTGTCGAGGATGTAGATTATCTATTAGGAAACTGAGCAGTTGGGGGAATGGTTTATTAAAGTGTGTGTCTGTTAGAAATTGTAATTGTAAGTACTGTGGAAACCTACAGAAACGACTAGGACAAGGAAAAGAATACAAAAATGGCTTGTACACCGGTTACAGTCACATAAAAATAAGCATTCAGGTAGAGAAGAATGTAGAAAACAGGTAAAAATAATTACTGTCTTTGTGATGTGGTTATTCATGTTCCTTCCATACTGCTTTTGAATGACATACTTAAGAAACTTTTCAATTAAAGCAAAAACTCACTGTTTGATCAATCTTGAATGTTTAGGATACAGCAGTTAAAACAGTTACTGGAGGATTCTACCTCAGATGAAGATGGGAGCAGCTCCAGTTCCTCTGAAGGTAAAGAGAAACACAAGCAAAAGAAGAGGAAAGAAAAGCATAAGAAAAGGAAGAAAGAAAAGAAAAAGAAGAAAAAACGGAAGCACAAATCTTCCAAGTCAAATGAGAGTTCCGACTCAGAGTGACAAGGATGTGACTTGTTCAACGTTCTCTTCTCAAGAATCAAACACTGTGGCCAAGGAACAGAGGAAGATGCAGTCAGAGAAAGTAGTAGGATAGAGACACTGAGACAGGAGGATACGTGGGTCACAGCAGTGAGCTCCCACCCGCCTTCCAGTGAAGATGTGACCCCCGGAGAGGGAGTGTCTCCTTCCAGGTGCTAGCTCTGGACAGCCGCTGATTTTAGGACAGTTTCTTCGGTGTTGTCCTCCCTGCTGGTCCTATGAGTTTACGATTCCTTTGAAATACCTCCCATAGGGTGGCAGGACTGGGAGAATCTTTGAGGCATTTCTTCCAGGCCCTCCCACAGCTTGTGCCCTCCATAGTGTGGAATTGAACACCTGGCCTCATGTGATCCTTCCACCTTGGCCTCCCAAAGCATTGGGATAACAGGTGAGAGCCACTGCTTGGCTAAAAGTGTACATTTATATTCATCTGACATGATTTATTGATTTGGGGGCTAAGGAGTTCTTAAAATAACAATAAAAAATCTTGTCTGGCTAGCATTCTACTTAACTTGCTTTCTACTGCCAGAGTCCCATGATTTTCACAGAGTGACTCAGAAAAGGTTTAGGAATATAGGGGAATTTCTATACTAGGTCAGGTATCCACATCCCAAAATCCATCCCTTCCTTTCTTCCTTTTCCTGTTGCCTGACCACAGCCCATCTGTGCTCTTGTAGCTGAGACTAGGCCACAGTAGAGGCATCTCAGGAGGCCAGGGTGTGTCTGCAGCTGGAGGAGAGGAAGTCTGTCCTTTGCTGAGCCAAAGTGAAGCTGGATCTTGCTCATAGGCAAGTGTGTTCCTCTGTGGCCAACACTGGACTCTTGCTGCTTTAGGCACTCAGTCAGGGTCCCAGAAACTCACTCCCATTTTCTGCCACTTTTCATGGAGTTTAGATTGCACCTCTTTAAGGAACAGCCAAGCCAGGCCTAGACTGACCCTTCTTCAAGTCTCATCAGTCAGTGCTCCTGTTCATGGCCTTGGAATACCACCTCAGGAAAACAATTGGTTGAGATTGGAATGGCCAGGACTTGTTATTTCTGAAAACTGTAAGGCCAGTGGATTCAGCCTTGCCTTACACTTATCCTTGTCATCATTCCTCAGCACGCAGAACACAGGCCATCTGTCCTCTGCCATATGCTCAGCATTTCCCACCCAGGTACAGCCGGTCCTCTTCTTCCAGGAATTGGCTACTGTCCCTCCACAATCCCATTCATGATAAAAGCATTCTTACACAACATGAGAGATGCTGCATCAATGATTCTCAAACCTCCAAGACATCCAAATCAGTAGCGTGCTTACGATGCAGATTCCTGTGCTCGACTCACAAACTTCCAGAATTTTCCATCCCCTAGGTCTGAGGTGAACCTGGGAATCTGCCTTGCTAACAAGTGATGCTGATACTGTGGATTTGGGGACCCCACTTGGAGAACCTGTGCTCTAGATCTCTACCCTCTTACTGAAGCCTTCTTCCACTTCCTGCTTTAACTGGAATCCAGCCGTCCACTCCTGCAGCCCTTGCAAGGGAATTGTCCCTTTCCCCTCACTCTGTTTTTTTCTTCTCTGTTTCTAGCCTAGATTCCAAGGAACATCACTTTGGCCTGTCATCTCCCCTGATCTGTGATGCTTTTGTCCAAGCTTTCCTCAAAGAAGCGTCAATCAAAATCTTCCGCTTTGCTCCCATAGACAGACTACAGAGGAGAAATCCCAGAGCCCCTACAAATCCATCTCCATACTCAAATGAGAACTGAGCTCAAAAAGCTCACTAGCAAACCAAAAGTGTGCTTGTCACCCACTTAAACTTTCTTTTTCAGACATCTCTTTCAGGTATACATTTTCCATTTCTATCCAGGGAGACAAAATAAGCCCTCAAACCTCCCTTCACTAAGGCGTCATATAATGAATGTCAGACATCCTACTGATATGGTTTGGATGTTTGTCCCCTCCAAATCTCTTGACGAAATGTAATCCCCAGTGTTGGAGATAAGGCCTGGTGGGAGGTGTCTGGATCATGGGGGTGGATCCCTCATGAATGGGTTAGTGCCATCCCCTTGGTGATGAGTCAGTTCATACCAGATCTAGTTGCTTAAGTGTGAGTGGCACCCCTCCCTCCCTCTTTTGCTCTGACTGTTGCTGTTACTGTGTGATATGCTGGCTTCCTCCTTGCCTTCCACCGTGACTGTAAACTTCTTGAGGCCTCACCAGAAAAATATTCCAGCACCACACTTCTTGTACTGTTTGCAGAACCTTGAGCCAAGCAAGTGTCTTTTCTTTTTAAATTACCCAGGCTAAAATGGCATCATGATTTCTCCCACTAATCTTCAGGACTGTTAATAGGATGCATTTTACTCCTGTGACTAGATTGTGTTACCAGTACAAGGAAAGGGGGACCATCTGGGTGTTCCTAATCAAATAATGAGAACCCTTTGGAACTCGAGTTGTCCCTGGCTGATAACCAAAGAGAAGGTCAGAGAATCCAAGCCTGTGAAAGATTCCACACACCATTACTGGTTTTAGAGTTGAAGGGGCCACATGGTGAGGGATGCAGCAAACTCTCATCAAAGATTCCTGACTCACAGCCAGCAAGGAAATGGAGCTGTCAGTCCTACAGCTGAAAATATCTGAATTCTGCCACCCTCAATGATTCTGGATGCATATTCTTCCCCAGAGCCTCCAGATGGAAGCCCACCTCTGCCGACACCTTGGGTTGGGGCTTGTGAGATGCAAGGTCGAGAGCCCAGTTGAGCCTGCTCAGGCTTCTGACCTACACCACCATGAGGTAATCAATGGTGGTGGTTTTGAGCTTTTACGTTTGGAGAAAGTGTTAATGCAGCAACAAACTGATCCAGAAGTTTAATGAGCTTTCTCTCCTCCTCACAGGCCAGTCCATCACCTGTGCTCTGGAGCCCACCATCAGCCAGCAGTAGGGGGCAGTGACTGGAGCACTGGCCCTGCATCCAGACAGCCTGGCTTTGAATCCCAGCTTGCTAGCTGTGGAGTTGCTCCACCTCTCTGTGCCTCCAAGTCCTTGACTAATCATATCTACCTCCTAGACTTCTAGTAAGAATGAGGGGACTTGATATGCGTAAAGCATTTAGAGCAGGGTGTGGCACATCTCAACACTCAGCCGGAGTGTTACCTGCTCCTGATGCTATTGCTGTCACCATCATCTAATCCTCAGGGAGCTTCCTCCTCCTCTATCCCATGTCATTCACATCTTCAAACTCTTCCTTTCTATTGTGAGGTTGCCCCAGTGTTTAAAAATTGTTTTAGGCC